GCACACAGGAAACTCTGGAACAAGCACGCTTCACGAAAGGAAAGAAATGAGGTGAAAACGATTGTTGAACATTGCAGACCAACATCCAAAAGGCGCAAACAATTGCAAAACGTTCGCAAACAGCAACAACTTAGCATCTACCCCCGAGATCACACTGCTGTTGAAACAATGAGTGAAAAACTGTTCTCATAAACTGTGCATGTGAAAGTTGTTAATCGCATGTACAGTTCTGTTCAGATATAATGCGAAAAGAGCAGGCATGAAATTGTACTAGAAACAACCTACGTTCACGAGGCATTCAATCCAGGTTTTACCTGCTTTGTAGTGTTGTAAAAGTTCCGAACAGGCATGCGGGGTGATGTGATTTATGTCCAAGATGGCTGAATCACAATGAAAAATTAAGAAAATAAATAAGTATAAGCAATTCATTTACTTTACACAATTCCTGTAGCAAATGAAAATAATTACTATATTACTTTGGTAATACAGTGGAACGATAAGTCGAACGAACCTTATAAGAAATGAAAATTATATATTGATAGTAAGTTATATATAAACTATATATTGAAATATATCGCAAACCATTTTAATATAATACAATCAAAAATCAATACATATAATAAAATATAATACTCCTATATAACAAAAAATATAATATATTATTATACATATAAAATATAATAAATATTACACTGTTGGAAATAATTCACGAGCACACCCTGTATAATCTGAACGCGTGTGTCTAGCGCAATAAAATTTGGTATGGAAGTAGTACTAAAGTAGTATAACTTACTCTCACATGGAGAACGGCACAACTCTGCTGGGAGGAAAAACATCAATAGCGAGAGTATCCCTCGTGAGCTTCGCGTACCATCGCTACACGACGTGGCATGGAGTCTATAAGTCGCTGTATTGTAGCGAGAGGGATGGCCAACCATGCCACCTCAACTCGCCTCCATAGCTCCTCAACGTTAGCCGAGGAAGCCGGATAACGTAGAAGTCTCCGACCAGTCATGTCCCAAACATGTTCGATCGGATTCAGATGCGGAAACCGAGCTAGCCATGGAAGCATTCGTATACGGTGCTCTTCCACAAAGGTCTGTACAACACGCCCGATGTGCTGTCGTACGTTGTCGTGCATGTATAGCAGACCTGGGAGCCGCCGAACGTAGGGAAGCACAACGGACCGTAGCACCTCATCTACGTATCGTTGACCCGTCATGGTCTGCTATACACGCAGCAGACGTGTACGTCCACCATATGTAATCGCACCCCATACCATAATGCTCGGTTGTCGGTGGATAGGGCGTTCTTGCACACACTGCTCGAGTAGACGATCACCACGGCTCCGACGAACTAAAATTCGCGCATCACCGGTGCTCAATTCGAATCTTGATTCGTCGGAAAACAAAATGTCCCTCTACTCGGCAACCTACTAATGCCTAGCGTCGACCCACTCGTGACGTATGCTGCGGTGCTCGGGTGTTACTGGAATCCGCTGTATCGCACGACGCGCTCGCAGTCCACTATCTACCAAACTACGCGAACTGTACGGCGGACAGTTCGCGTAGTGAGTGCGCCTTCCCATGCCGGTGGCAAAACAGCTCCAAGTTGTCTTGAGGAGGACACACACGACGCTAAAGCGCTGAGCACAAGAGCGCGATCCTCGTGTGCTGGGGACGCGCAGGGCCGTCCCGGCCGCGGCTGAAGGTACCTATGTCCTACCTCAGACCATTCTCGCCATGCCCGTTGCACTGCCGATAACGACCGCTCGAGACGACGCGCAATTTCACAGAACGATACACCCTCAATGTGCATACCCACAAACATTCCTCGCTCAAACTCGCTTAAGTAACGCGATCGCCCATCCATTGCGCACAGAGTACGATAACAATGTGGTTCCTCACACCACACTAAAAACGACCGGTATTTTCCATCCACTTCGGTCTCCATAGCGACGGAATGTTCCACTTGGAAGGGCGGCTCAATCAACAATGCCGCGACGGAACAACTCGAAACTCCCCGTATAAACTCGTCTACAGTAAACCTTTGTGCTCCGCAAATATTATGGATTTATCTTCACGCGTTCAGATTATATAGGGTGTGCTCGTGAATTATTTCCAACAGTGTATAATAATCTAATTGGGGAGAATTTTATAAGGTCCATTATACCATCAAATATTATCAGTATTTTGAATAATACCCATTATTCTCTATGCAACATTGTAATCTGGTGGACATCGAATTTACTACTCTTTCGCATACATCCTTGCCGTGAAACAATTCCCACACCGCTGTAATGTTGCGGCGCAGATTATCCACGTTGCGAATCGGAAAGTTGGCATTTTTATTGAACTGTTTTTCCACCAAAGCCCATAGATTTTCGATTGCGTTAAGATCAGGTGACCGCGCTGGCCAGGGTATTCGTCTAACCTCATTATGATCGTCAAACCAATCATGAACAATTCTGTCATGGACAATCATGATGATCCCTTCTGTATACAAGGTTCTTACTGATGGTATCAAAACATCCCCCAGCACTCGAATGTATTCAATCGAATTAAATATTTGATAATTGTGGACGTTGTAAATGGATTAGTGGTGACGTATTCAGCAATTCCCCTTCGTTGAGCATTATTAAGAATAAGCCTTCGGCCTGATCTAGATGTTGTAAGGCCAACTTTCTCGTTGTCTTCAAATCTTACTGGTAAGCCTACACGTTCGGCAATTTCCCGTTTATCTATTCCTTCTTGATGAAGTGCAATAATTGCTCGCCTCGTAGTCAAACCTGACTCTCGTTGACCAGGAATACTAGGCATGTTGTATTTAAGAAAACGGACAAATTTGAATGCACGTAATTTTGACAGTGAATAATTCTATTTAAAATTTGAAAGAGAGTTTCATAAAGCTTTATTTATAAGTTTTATATTATATTAATTATATTACTGAGATTTTTATCTGACGGTTTATTTATAGAAATACTCTAAAATCATTTATTAGAGGAACATATAAAAAATCATGTATTTGTTGTTCTTAAAAATATCAAAAAAGATTTAATATAAAATAAAATTAACACATTTAAAAAAAGGGTGATCCATTCTTCGACCCACTTCAAACTGGGAGGAGATGTCTCCGTCTTCTTCCAGTACTCAGTCATGTCGGAGCTAACAGCGGACGATTCGCATTAAATCTGAACAGAGCTGTACATACATCTGTCGCAAATTTAATTAGTTTATAGAGATATCGAGGTGACTTAAAAGCGAGTATCTTATAATACAGGGACAAGCATTGTAGTTTTCGTCTATTTAACCATTATATATGTTCTAACTTTTATATTCACAACCCCGTATAAAACAAGAATTTTACACTCTCTGAACCCTAACCACATCAACACTGTCCAAACATGTATTATAGACAGGTGTCAGATAAGTAGATTGCAATAGAACAAGTGACTCACATAAAAGCCTCTTCAAGCGCAAAGGTAACACATTTCTGAAGGGAAATAGTTTTCGAAATTGCAAGTATGAACTAGAAACGTATTTCGAAATTTGCTTCTTATATCTAAATATGTTATCCATAACTAAACCCAAATTTCTTTGCATCAGCAACCAATGGTATCGGGATTTCTCTAATCTCTAGCCGTACATGTTCTACCAATGTCTCACATCTACCCCCAAACAGCATCATCACCGATTTGCCAACATTAAGATAAGTGCATTTTGCATCAATGCAAAATTGTTAACACTATTCAAATCCTCCTGCAAAATGCGGAGAGCGTCTTATAATTTTCTGATTCAAACGATATATACAGTTGTAAATCATCAATATAAAAGGGCTGTCGCATCACAACATGTAGATATTAAAATCCCCCAAGCAGAATACTTACAGTTCAATTGTGGTGGTCGATAAACCACGGATTTTGCATTAAGTTGCTTGTTGATACAATTTATATCGAGTAGCCGTAAGATCTGTAATTCGAATTTGCTTTCCCTTCAACAACTTTCGGTTTTTAAGAATTGTACGTTGATCTTTATAAGAAACAAATCACACGATTAATAATAATAATAATAGTAATATTTATTGGCACAACCCACATACTTTACATACAATTTAACATTAAAAAAAAATCAAACATGTATACATAAAAAACAAACAAACAAAAAAAAAATTTTACAAAAGCAATCAAATGAACTGCGTAATTTGGCTCGTAACATAGTCACGATCCACTCCTCCACGCAGCCCGGAAAAGAACTTCTTTCAAACATTGTAGATATATAACAGAATATAGATAGAGAAAGCTAAATACCTCAAACAACTTTTGTAAGTTATACGACAGCACAGGTAAGGAGGCATTTGCCAAGTCACCACACTATGAAAAAACAAAGCATTATGTTAAAACCTTCTCTTCCACATATTTAGCCAATTGGCGGCCTCTAACATATTGCCTTTAAGGCGGCCCGACTATCTGTGAAAATGTTTATAGATGCACCTTTTTGTCCCTTCTGTAGGTTCAAAGCAGTGCAGAAGTTTATAGCAAGAACTTCTGCTTGGAAAATTGTTAAGTCCGAGCTGAGGGGCAATTTAATGTGGGTATTTGGTCCACTGATGCCCATGCCTACTCCAAATCTTACTGTCTTTGAACCATCGGTGTACCAGGCTAGGGCTTCTCTTTTTAGTTGAGGCCCTCCCTTCGCCCAATCATCCCTGCTTCTAAATATGACCTTATACGGCTGGTTGAAATTGTATTCTGTCGGTATGAGGTCCGTTTTAATTTCAATCAGGTGATTTAGACATGGGTCCTTGAGGATCTCGATGTATCCTCTGAGGTTACCCTGCATCAACTTGAGTGAAGAAACTGTTTTCAGTGATAGGGCACTTAAGGCTGCCTCCTTTTGTATATGTTACAGGCCGTACATGAAATCAGACCGTAAGTATACGGTCTAGGCGGTATCTATACGGTCTAGATGGCACAGACCGTATGGAAATGACGAAGTATTTTATATACGGACTAGACCATTTACATACGGACTACCGTAATTTAGACTGTATGTTCAATCGCAAGTGTCTAGTTGCCGTTTAGTTTTTGTCTCGTTTTGCTCCAATTTACAAAATATTTTGCAGCAAAATAAGCACAGTGGTGACATTCGTTAAAATTTAAACGTTTTTACTGTTTAATGCAATAGATTTCCACAATGGAATTACACAAACAAAGGTACGTTAATATTATAGTTACTTGTTACATAGTAATATAACCTAAAATTAAAAAAATAAAATAGGTTTTATGAACAACTGTATGAACGAAGAAAAGACGTTGCCGATAACAACCGCGGCTTAACGAGAGAAAAATATAGTAGTCTCATTGAAGAAGTAAAAATTGCTAAGGCTGCTAAAAAAAAAGTCCAAGAATGCACTGGCTCTTAAAGCATTATGATGTGTTATCTGTTCAGGGGGTAGAAAAACTGATAGTGCCTCTTAACAATGATTTAGTTGATGTAATATATTACGTCCATGACGACGAGTTGTTTAACATTCTTCAAGAACTACACACATCCACAGGTATGTTCTGTAATTGGAGTCATATATGGAGTAGGTAATTAATAAAATCACTTTTTACTTGCAGGTCATGGTGGTAGAGATCGCATGATGAAAAAAACAAAGGAAAAATACAAGAATATAGTGCGTACTGAAATTTTATTGTTTATTAACTTGTGCGCTCCATGTCAAATGAAACAAAAAAGGGAAAAGAAGGGAATTATATCAAAACCGATGATCTTCAATGATCTGAATTCCAGATGTCAAGTAGACTTAATCGATTATCAGTCGCATGCTGATGGTAAATACAGATTTGTCCTGGTGTACCAGGATCACTTAACAAAATTTGTTATTCTGCGACCACTTGAAAGTAAACGCGCAGAAGAAGTCGCTTACCACCTTGTAGACATCTTTACCACTTTTGGGGCTCCTGTAGTTTTGCAATCTGACAATGGACGCGAATTTTGCAATAGAATTATTGAAGAATTAAAAAGTTTGTGGCCTGAACTAAAACTGGTCCATGGAAAACCGCGTCACAGTCAAAGTCAGGGTAGCGTCGAACGCGCTAATCAAGACGTGGAGAACATGTTAACAACTTGGATGTTGGAAAACGAAACAGAGCATTGGAGTCAAGGTCTACGATTCATACAATTTATGAAGAACACATCTTTGCACTCTGGAATAAAAAGGGCTCCATATGAGGCCATGTTCGGGGACAAACCGAAAATTGGATTAAAAACTTCTAATATTCCATTAGAAGCAATGGATAGCGTAACAACCGAAGAAGATCTGGAAAATGTGATTAATTCTATTCTGATTGAAAACACAGAAACCGTTCAACTGGAAACAGAGCAACCAGCGCTGGAAGGTGTTTCAACAGAAAAAGATTTAGAAGAAGTGGTTACGTTGGTTGTTACTGACAACACACAAACCGGACAATCCCAATTGCACCAAACAGCAACGACCGAAAATGTACCACTAGAAAATAACAATAACACTCAAACACTCTCGTATGAAATATGCGGTAGTTGTTTCAATCCCACTAATCGTGATGCCTCACATGCTGAGAGCACGTCCTTGGAAAATATTTGCAATTTTTGCAATAGAAACAGAAACATAGCAAATGCCAGAAAGGGCGCTTATGATGGATTACAAGCACAGGCAAAACGAATGAAATTAATATCAGATAGCACCCATCCAAAACCACAGATTGGATCAACTGTGAGGATTCCTGTTCCAGATGTCGATCGTGGCAGGGGAGATGCTCGGTCAGTTTTAGCGGTAGTGTTAGAAGCTACAGAAGATGGTTTTTACCGCTTGGGTACAAAACTAGGAGTCATTTCAAAATACTACAGTCGTTCAGAATTTAGTATATGTCCTGCTAACATTTTGAAAATTGAAGAAATCACCAAAGATAAGGAAGTTTCTCTTAGATCGGTGGCTACAAGTCAATCTACTGGGCATGGGCAAGGTTTCAAAAAATGTTACTGTAAGACTAAATGTCAGTCAAACAAATGTGCTTGTCGAAAAAATAATGTATTATGTAACTCAAAATGTCACAATAGTCTAACTTGTACAAATAAATAAAAAATGCATTTTTTTCTTTGTTTAAAATATTACAGTAATATGTATATCTTATGTGAGTATTAGTCTATTTGCAGATGGACCGTTTATAAATAGACTAGTCCTTTTTCAAACAGACTAGTCCGTTTATTAAAGAACAAGCTTCTTACACATATAGACTAATCATTTCAGTCCATTTACATATGGACTAGTCCTTTTGTATACGGTCTTGTTTACATATATGGTCTGTAACATATATATAATTGGAGCGGTGTGACATCGAGTAGGGCTTCCAAAGCAGCCGTTGGACAAGATCTCATTGCACCCGTTATGTTAAGACATGCTAACGGCTGGATTTGTGCCAGTTGTTGTGCTGTCTTATGTTTTGTTTTTGGCCACCAAACCAATGAGGCGTAGGCGTCCATGGGTCTGTATTTCGATTTTATTGGGATTGATGCTGACCCCATTGCTTCTACACCAAGTACTGGTGAGTAGTAGGGCTTTCTGCATTAACTGAGTTATAATTGAATCATATTTACCTCGGATTGGGATTACCAGGTCATCAGCATACCCTTGTATCTTAAATCCGTTTTTAGTTAGGGTGTTCATCAAGTCATCAACTACCAGGCACCATAATAGAGGTGATAGCACTCCCCCTTGGGAACATCCTCTTAGCGCCTTTATAGTCTGCCGACTTTTCAACATGGCTATACACCACCATAATTGTTGATTTTGCTTTCTGATAAGAATGTTGGCTAGGGTGGAGTGGATTAGTGACAAGCACTCCATTCCTAAGGTATTGATCGATTACCTTTTCCATCCCTTTGAGGAGAAATGAAGTTAGGCTAATTGGTCTGTATGCCTTGGGGTCCGCGTTTGAACGCCTACCACCTTTAGGTATGAAAACCACCTTCACTTTCCTCCATAGAATGGGTATATAGTTAAAGCTGTAGCTAGCTACATATAGGGATATTATTACTGGGAGAACGTGTTCTAAGCCTTTTTGCAGAATAATAGGCAAAATTCCATCTCCTCCAGGCGATTTTACGGGCTTGAAATTAAAAATAGCCCACCTTACTCTGTTGGGTGTGAAAGTATTGGAAGACAATAATAGGATTCATCACTTTTCAAAAATTGCTGAACAATATTTTCCGTACCAATGTAGTTTTCCGGAGATATACAAACGCTCTTCCGGACGATTTAAATCTATATTTGGGAGTGGTGCTAACAGGAAATTGGTGTTTTTGTGGTTTCAATTTCAATCAGCCTCAATACATTTTTGATGTCTTAATTAAGACTTTGTTTTAGTAAATTGCTAAATTATTGGTACCAAATCAATACCGTCAAAATGACAAAATAATCTTAAATCATGTGGTGTAAGCAATTTTCGATGATATCATTAAATGCCACAATTTGAATTGGTTTGAAATCCTATATCCTCCGTCTGGACATTCGATTACTAGCGGCAATGGTGCCAAGGTTTTATTGCGTCGACAAGCTGCAAATTACGCCGCTAATTAAAACGGCGTCCGCGGATTCGAGTCGCGTCGCTACATAAATCGCCGACCGAACGAACGAACGACGAACAAAAGGGCGAGAAGGGAAGGAAAAAAATTCCAATCCGGAAACTGGGTTGAGGTTGTCGCCCCCTCACGTTCGGAAACTCGGAAAATTTCTATCTGTACCCGCACCCTCCTTTTTACCCCCCGCGTTTCGCGACGTCGAGGTGTACGTAATTGCACTTTGAAATACTCTAATGAGACTAATTCCGCTCTGAGCTTTTCAAAGTTCTCGCAAAAGCTATGATGACGTCATCTACCCACAACCATACCGTTTAAAGTACTCAGCATACATATAAGAGATACTTAAGAATAATTTTAACTAATCCTAAAATAATTTTATAACTTTGTGTGAATTCAGCAAATATTTTTTATTGCGAATAAAATATTTATTATTCCTTTTTTTTAGGTTAATATTTGTTAAAAAGATAAATACATCGGGGTTATTTCCGCGTACATTTCGAAGTGCTCCAAAAAAATTTTTTTTGTTTTGTTTAATCTTGACGTGTTTTTTTCATGGCATTGTAGCAACGGTTTTCGAATTTCCGTTTGCCACGAGTTCGAAATGTCGCAACGGATGTGTGAAATTTATTGAAAACAGCGTAAAATGTTTGCGTTGTAAACGTATTTGTTTTTATCGAAATAATGGCTAGTTATTTTCGCGGGAATTGTATGAAAAATACCGGGTGCGTTGTAGGGGTTTTGAAAATGAACGTTTGACCCTAAAAACTAGCGAGTTTTGTGTATTTGCGCAAACATCGAATAAACGGTTCAAGTGCTTTTTGACATTTTTTTAATTTTTTTATATGTAATTTTTATGCAGTAAAGTTAATTGTTACGGGAGAATTATTTTTATGAAATAATAACTTTTCGGTGGATGGTTATTTTATTACTACATTGGTAATAAAAGATAGTTAATTATACTTCAATTAAAAATAGAAAATCCAATTTTCATTTTAAAATACAAAATGGGTTTTGATCCAATTTTTTTTATTATTTTATTTTATTATTCAGACTCAGTTTTTAGGTATAATTTTGTTTTGATTCAGCCTTCAAAATTACAATATAATTGGATTGAACCTTTCGATAGTTTGTGATTGGGATTGGGGTAGCATCGATTTACGGAACATCGGTCAATTAACCTCAAAGTGGGATTTCGCGAACCATTTCGAATCATTACGGCGCATAATTGCGCTAGCGCGATTGTTGTTACACTGTATAGGTGGCGGCTCCGATCGTAAAATTACCCGGGAACAAGCGACTGTCGCTAATAAACATTCCGGAAATGGTAAATTGGACAGCCCGTGGCCCCGGAAACGACGGTTACCACACAACTTAGTGTTCCACCCCTCAAAATCCTCCAACTCTCCCTTTAATTACTTAAATGGCAAACTTTACAAGACATTTTTACTTTTATTTTATCGTTTTTTTACAAAATCACGATTACCAATTTAGTTTACTAAAGGAGTTATTATAAAATTTAGTTTAATCTTGGAAAGAGGCGATTTTCAAGTGAATAACTTGTCGAGAGCGCTTTGTATTACATATCTGAGGAACTCATCTTTTCGACGCCGACGAACAAAGGCTGGAGAGCCGGTAGTAAATTCGAGAACTTTGCTAAAGTTGGCCGGCTTCTGGAACGCCTCTCCTAAAGAGGCTACAAAGCGACTACCATAGAGCTTTTGTTGTTTACGCAAGTGCCGGTGTATTTATGTAGAGAGGAAAACTTTAGAACCACACACTTACAGAAACTATACATTACTGTTTGTATCGTTCCTCTTCAAAAAATCTGTTAAATATTTCACCAGCTCAAAAAATAATACATCTAGATATATTAACTGTATCAAAAACGCTTTTAGATGAAATTGGAATGATGAAATCATTACTTCATTTACTTCATTCATACCTCAGCTAATTCCAGAAACATACTTTTTAAGATCAAATTTCTTATTTACATTTTTTGCAAGATTGGGTTTAAATTTTTTTCTTAGATTATTTATGTCTGTGGAAAAAAAATTGGGGTCTTACCCCTGAAAAATTGTGCTGGCTCTATGTCACTGTGGTTAGACACCCGGAGCAGCAGCCTGGTATAAAAAAGTTCGACAGACTTCAGTTATCAGTAAACTTTCACAAATTCAACGAGTAGCTGGATTAGCAATCTTTGGTGCGGTAAGCACAACGCCAACTCTAGCAATGGATGTTCTGCTTGGCCTATATCCTTTGCATTTGCATATAGAGAAAGTGGCTGGAACTTTCATTTACAAATTTAAGCAATATTCTCAAAACTCTTCCAACATGTCCTACCAATGGGCTGCGGAAGACATTATAAGCAGTAATATTAATGCTCGATACCAGATTGTACTACCTCAACTACCTGAACGGTAGTCCTGGATCGAAAACGAAAATTCTCTGGTTCAGGCAGATATTTGCATGTTCACAGATGGATCAAAAACACTGGAAAGGGTTGGGACAGGAGGCACTTCATGCCGCTAAGAAATAACTAGCAAATTAAGTGATAAAATAAAAATTTTTTGATATTAAAACATCAACTAATCATTTATTTTAACAAAAACATGTGTTAAAACAAAAACGAAAATGCAATAATAGAAAAATCTGTCTTGTTCCATTTGATAATGGACACAATAATTATTGCCAGGAACAATTGCAAATTAAGTGAAAAATTAAACATTTACTTTTGCAAAAACGTGAAAAATGAAAAACACGCTAACAAGAAAATCAGTCTTCTTCTATTTGACAACTTTGGCAACAAGTATCGCAAAGGACAATCTTTTTTGAGTGATTTTTGTAAACAAATTGATAACATGTACTACAAGTAACTGTAGCTTTATTATTTTTATGGGCATTACAAAGTTTAGGGTACTTCTGGTATCTCTCGATATTGGGAAAGAGATTCTACCAATTCTTTCGGAATTGTCTGAATTTTGGCTCGTGCTCTCATATGTTCTTCCATAAGAACCAACCCTAGTTCATTTAAAAATTTCCGCCGTCCGTTTTTCTAGTGGTTTTGTATTATTGAATATAATTTCAGAATTTACTGTAAGATGGGGTTACTTGGTCACGTTTTTTCCACATTTCTCAAAATTAAAAGTGAAGAAATAAAGTTAGGGCAACAGAAACTTGTTCATCATACCAACCTAACCTTCAGGATTATATAGCTATCATAAAACATTGAAAATACCTTATACAAACAACAAAAAACTGATGTCCGAATAGCCTTGTTGTTGAGGCATCTTGGACACTAAACTTCGTTTTAGTGACAATCTCTTATTTTGTATGTCAGATGGTCAAGTTGCCCTGAACATATAACTGAAGCATTAAGGAATGTATTTTTATGTAAAAGACACAATTTTTATTGAATTAAATATTAAAAAATATTTAATAAATTTTAACAAAACTGTATTTATTTCAAGTGTTTCAAAAAAATCTTCCAAAGTTAATTTATTTAAATCGAAAT